GCAACTAGTCTACCGTAGAAAGAAATGGCAACCTACTGCGGGAAAGAAATCAGCCTCGTCAGTCATATATCGAAAGACGTGTATCACGTATGGCACATATCTGAATGACTGAATTCGAGTGTGCAAGTTATCCAGTCTATACTTGTTTTTCATATTAATTTTATATCTTGCCGTTATTAAACGTATTCCCTTCGTCAGCTATGAAGTCAATTTTATTTTATTTTGTTCCTCCATTTGGGATTTTCCAATTTTATTTACGATATTTTTGCTTTTTCAAACATGTATTTATATTCGCTATTTTGTGTCTTTCGGAGAAGTTAACTAACTTTTCACCTCTCATTTCTCTTTCCTTTTCGAAATCTTCCTCCACGAGATCCTTCCGTTTTTTTTTTCTCACTGTATTTGCATTTGAAGTCGCCAATCAAAATGCTATCTTCTTTCTGTCGATGCCAATGGTTTCCTCATAAAACACTTCAATTTCCTTACTGAACTTTGAAGGTGGCGTATATACCTACTTTTTCGGGAGTACCTTTCTGCCTTATTTGATTATTATCCAAGTGATTCTATTTGATATGCCGTCAAAAACGTCTATGTTGTCTGAAGTGTTACTATTGACCAAAAATCTTTGGCCACTAGTTATCCTCCTTTCATTTATAATAAAACAAATGATTATTTACCGTAAACTGAAAGAGATTATTTCCCTTCCGTGTACCGTTGTGTGTCAGATTTCATTCTATCATTATTCTGTCAGATTCAACTGTAATTTGACCGTTATGTATTCGTACAGGAATAAGCGTTCTAAAAACGAAGAGAGAAATATTCTTCAAACTCTGTTTTCTTAAAGACTGGAAATACAGAAGAGGATTTCCAACATGCAGTAATGCAACAAACAACAATGCATTTATCAGATGATTTACCCGTATTCTTCAAGTCTGGAACTGCAGAAGAGGATTTCCAACAAGCAAGAAATCAAGAAGCAGCAATGCATTTATCAGATTGTTCGCCTGAGTTTTTCAAGTCTGGAATTACAGAAGAGGATTTCCAACAAACGGGAATGCAAGAAGCAGGAAGGCATTTATTGTAGAGTTTAGAAAGTACATATGCTAATTCAGGAGATACTATCAAGTCGACATTGCAGGGATACCTTCAAGTCCACATGCTTTGTGGGGATCATCTTTAAAGATGATAGCAGAAACTTTGGACGGAGTGATATGCATATCACACAATAATTATTCAATTCTATGTGGAAAGTTAACAATGTGTTTCTTTGCACATATACGAAATCGCACTGAGCTTCCGTTTGAAAGAAAAATACATCAAAAGATATTTCAGCTTTCGTATTAAAAAACAAGCGCTCTTCTACGATTTTCTTGACGCCTTCAAAAAGGCAGAACATTTCTTCTCAACCAAATGGAAACTCATTAACAATGTCATATCACTTTATCTCCAATTCTGCTACCACAGAAAATCTTGTCGGTTGGAATCGGTATCATCGAGTCAATATGAACAATTTTTTCCGTAGCTGCATTGTATGTGCTTCGCCAGAAATACGTATAGTTTTGAATACAGAGTTTTCCTTCTTCTAGACCGGTTACCGCCCAGGGCTATAAAACTTAATCTGTCCATCTGCTTGCATCTTTGTGGGAGAAAAGATGGATTCACACCGTTCCCAGGGGTATTAGCATGTAATTGAATGTAATGAACTCGACTGGAATTCGAACTCGACTCTCCGATTCCTTAGTCTGAGCCGCTATGTATTCATTTACTGTACCTTCTAGATTTATTAAATTGATTTTGTTCTCATTTAAGTGAACTTTATTTTCAAACCTTTTACAATCAATACATGACAGTGACTGTAATTCATTATTTTCAATTAGTATCTTCCAATTCATATATTTATTGAACAGAATATTATTTTGTTTTATGCTTTGTTTGCATTTCTCATGGTGCCCGTCTTCTTATTCCTTCACCCTGTTGGGTTGCTCTTCTGCTTCTTGTTAAAGACTTTAATCTATTCGCATTCCAATATTTTCACTTCTTACGTTAGATTCTTCCTCTGTTTCGTTTATACCCTTTCTCGTTCTCTCATAGCAGATCTTCTTGCATTAGCTTCTCCCTCTGTTTCAATTTTTACCACTCCCGCCCCGAGATGGTCTGCTTGCCTCTTTTTACCCTTTTCTTCTGTCTCATTAGTTCGCCTAGCTTGTGTTCTTGTTACTTCACAGCGTTCCCTCGATGCCAGTGAATATCTTTGCCTATCAGCCACACGCCGTGCCTGTATCTGAGCCTGGGATTGACTTAATCGCTGTCTTCGTTTTTGATGTCGTTCTCATGTTTTTCTTTCTTCAGAGGAATTTTCCATTTTATGATTTTCACTGGACAAAGGTTTCTGAAATGCAATCAATAAAGTAAAACCTAGAGAATTATTTAAATTTATTTCTATATTAAAAAGAGCAGTTTTGTGTTGAATCTTGGATACCAAAGCAAAACTAAAATGTATTTAAATAAGATGAGAACTTATAATTTTACCAATTTATCTTTTAAGTTATTCACGTTTATATTTAGAAGGTAAAAATGTGTTGAACCTAGGATACGGCGATTCACATATTTAGATAAAATATATAGAGACTTTGACATTTTCTGCGACGTTAATAAAAACCCCGTGATACATTTGTTTGAATGTAATTATTACTTGTATATAAATGCTTATTACCACGTGTTCTTCGATTTGCCTTATTTAACCCTCATATGGGACAGGAAATATATAAATGAATACACATTGATAATTATTATATGGTTTGATAGTTTGAATTGATGATTGATGACAAAATTATTTATACTATCTTTGTCAAGAAAATATTATCTCCCTTTATAAAGAATAATATAAAGTTATCTCCCTTCATCAGATGTGACAAGAAATATATAAATAAATACACATTGATAATTATTATATGGTTTGATGGTTTGAGTTGATAACAGAATTCTTTATATTATCTAAATTAATCAAGAAAATATAAAGTTATCTCCTTTCATCAGATGTGACAAGAAATATATAAATAAATACACATTGATAATTATTATATGGTTTGATGGTTTGAGTTGATAACAGAATTCTTTATATTATCTAAATTAATCAAGAAAATATAAAGTTATCTCCTTTCATCAAATGTGACAAGGAATATATAAATAAATACACATTGATAATTATTATATGGTTTGATGGTTTGAGTTGATAACAGAATTCTTTATATTATCTAAATTAATCAAGAAAATATAAAGTTATCTCCTTTCATCAGATGTGACAAGAAATATATAAATAAATACACATTGATAATTATTATATGGTTTGATGGTTTGAGTTGATAACAGAATTCTTTATATTATCTAAATTAATCAAGAAAATATAAAGTTATCTCCTTTCATCAAATGTGACAAGGAATATATAAATAAATACACATTGATAATTATTATATGGTTTGATTATTATTGCGGTTTTTGTTTCACTGTCTTTTCGCTTTCAACGAGAGATTTTACATTTTGTTTTTTTTTCTTTCAAGCTGCACGACCTCAGACATAAAGAATCTTTCTCAGAATAATTGCAGTGCAAAGCAATGCAGGTATCTGATGCAATGGGATTCTAAGCTTTCTTCCAATTTTCTTAATGTAGAACTTTAAATTCGGTGTTATAGAAACCACAACACCCCAAAGATAACTGAGACAATAGTGGTCTGAACATTTCGCATACTGGCAACTTTAATCCTCAGATCAGTGTATTGTCAATTGCTTTATATTATGGTCTCCATCAGTAAGGCGGCATTTTCTTGTTTCTTTTTCAACAACGATTATGCCAGGTTTGATGGCTTCAGGTTTGTTTGTATGTTTTCGATCATCTTTGCTTGATTGCGGCGGTACCATTTCTCGTCAACTTCAAGTCTATGGTCCCTACATAGGCACCAATACAGATAAGAGATCAATTTATCATGTCAGAGCTTTTATTATTCCTGCACAGGCATTTCACAAGCGCTAATGATATAGGTGACATTCTCCATTGCCTTGCCACATGGCCTACACTTGTCCGAAGCCACTGTCTTTCATGACATATTATTATTATTATTATTGATGTGCCGTCATTTTGAATTGAAACATATTTTGAATAAAGCACTCTTCAGGAACCCCCCGCTGTCAGTTGTAGAACAAATTAGAGAGCTCATAGAGTTTCATTCGTCGTGTTGAATGTTTGACCTTTGTCGAGTATCTTATTGATTGTAGTTTTGTTTCAGACTAAATAAGCTAATACCTCCTGAACAGTAGCCTCAGAGATCTCAGTGTCATGACTGACAATAAATGTAGCAGATTTAAAAAAAAAAAAACTGTTAAAAAAAACTGTTAGTGGGTAAATAATCATAGGCAGAGAACATTTTTAATGTACTTGTTGACTATTTCCTGGCATCATGGCACGGGACAGAAGCAATTTTAGTTTTATAACTTTCACTGAGAAAGTGATATAAGCAACTGAAAGCGGGGACTGAAATCACATTGAGAGATTTCCTTTTCATTCACCATAACAATAAATAATTGTATAAAGATTGTGTTTCGCCAATCTTTGTAGTAAAAAAAAAAAAAAAAGTATTCGAAATTCTGATTTTTAACCCGAGATCGAATTTCGACAATTGTCACTGGTGGAAATTGTCATATTTCAACCATCGTCTCCAGACAGGCTCGTACGACCTTTCATTTCCCCGTAATTGAAATAACGACCATGCTCCTTATCTTTCTCTTTTACGCAAACGCACACGCACACACAGACACACACACACTCACACTCACAGACACAGACACACAGACACACAGACAGACAGACAGACATAGACACACATATATATAGACACACACAGAGACATAGACACACACACACACAAGCTGTAATGAAAGCAAGGAAAAAGTGGGGAGGTTTGAGTGTAGACAAGGAAAAATAAAGCGCAAACGTTAGACTATATAAATTAACGTTCCTTCCGCCCCAGGAGCAAAAGAGAGGAAGAGGAAGAGAAGATTTGCTGTTTCTCAGCGACATCAGATGCAATACGGGCAGGATGTTGCTGCCCTTCGTTTCCATGCCTACATATCATTTGCCGCCTCTCCATGTTGCTGGACGGAACAAATATGGCGAAGCTTTCCAATCGTCTGCATGAAAACGCGCGGAATTTGGTTGAGATTTACTAATGAAGACGAGATTTTTCTTCCGGTTTTAATAGTTTTCATTTCAATTTCCAAGTTAAAAGTTGATCTGCAGAATTTAAATAAAATCCATTTACTTCAGTTAAAAAAGAAATATTTCTTGTATCACCAAAGATGTCACCGACCATTCTTTCATAAATTTATCTTCACGGAGATCAAAAAATTAAAACATGTTTCCTTACTGAGTGCCTCCAAGACAATGTCCTTGTGCCAGTTTTTTCAAAGTTGTTTTTACACACATGCGACATTCAATTTCGTCACTTCCTCTCATTTTTTCTTCCATTGGCGAAAGTCTTTAAAATGTTGATCATTGCACCCGAAGAATGTTAATTTCTTTATGCAATTCTTTTTTATGCACGCTGGCGTTGTCGTGCTGATAATTACTAACAATGTCGATTCTCACTAGGTGCTCAATACTTGTGGCATTATTATTATTATTATTATTATTATTATTTTTTCTTTGATTTCTGGCGTTTACATTTCTTTTCCGGGTCCCTTAAAGGACCTAAGGTTAGAAATGGCATCATGACACTTTCAGACATATATATATATATATATATATATATATATATATATATATATATATTAGAGATAAAGCCCTTCGTAAAGTGTGGGCTACACTTGTCAGAACAATTTTTTGTATCTCTGTGAGGCATGGACTTCCAGGAATCCCTTCAATTAGTCTACTGCAATCATTTCGAACCTGTCCTAGGGCTCCAACTACAACAGGGATTGTTGATGTTCCCATATGCCACATTTTCGAGATTTCTATTTCAAGGTCCTTGTATTTTGACAGCTTTTTTGAATATCTTCAAAGATACATTGCAGTCAGCAGGGACTGCCATATCAATAAGGAGGCACCGTTTTTGTTTGTGGTCTTTAATAACAATATCTGGCCGGTTGGCCTTGATTGTTCTGTCAGTGTGTATTGTGTAATCCCATAGAATTGTAACAGGTCCTATCTCCATAACAGGGTCTGGGTGGTGTTCATATCATTTTCTTTCAGTTTCCTTCCTTTAGAAGTTGCAGATTTTCCAGTACAGATATTGGCCCACTCTGTCATGCCGGGTTTTATATTCAGTGGGTGCCAACACCGTGCAACCTGATACAAGATGATCAATCGTTTCTGGATATTTATCACGGAATCTGCATTTTGGGCTGACACAATATTTTAGTATATGTGCTTGATAATTCCTAGTTAGCAAGCATTGGTCCTGCGCAGCAAGGATAAAACCTTCAGTTTCCGCTTTCAACCCTGCACTACGTAGCCACTGATGGGTATGGGTTTTGTCTACGCCAGCTTGTTTGGTACGGGCAGAGTATTGGCCATGAAGCGGTTTATCTTGCTATCGCTTCTGTATCTGGTCGGTTGCATTTGTTTTTGCTGTCTTTTTAAGTATTTTGCAGTTTCAGCCGGTGTATTGTGCAGTACTTGCATTTCTACGCCCATTTGAAACTCCATTTTGAATTTGTTGGCTTCTTTCATTACGGAGTAAAGACGCTTACTACTTTCATGTTCCTTGACACATACCATCATCCAGTCTTCTGTAATTTCCAAGTATCTTTGGAGGCCAATTGTTGTAGTTTTGTAGGACAGTTCTAGTTGAACTAATCCTCTGCCTCCTTCGGATCCGGGCACATACAGACGATCAACATCAGCTTTGGAATGATGCATGCGGTAGCAAGTGAGTAGCTTTCTCGTTTTGGCATCCATTCGCTTAATTTCAGCTATGGTCCAGTTAAGGACATTAAAGCTGTATTGCACCACAGGGACAGCCAATGTGTTTATGGATGATATTCTGTTTTTTGAGTTTAGCTTGGTATTTAGTACCAGACGTACACCCCTGTAGTACTCTTTTCTTTTTTTTCCTTCATTTGGGGGTGTTGTATGTCATCTCCTTCGCTAATTCCGAGGTACTTATAAGCTACATCATCATCATCATTATCATCTTATTATTATTATTTGTGTATGTTATGTTTCCTGCTTTGTATACTGAAGAGCTGGGACCAAACTATGGTCCTTTGTCTCTACAGGAGAATTGTCATTTAATTGATAGCACTTTTCTTAGTATATGGCATGTTCCTAGTTGGGCGATCTTCTGGACAACTTGTTTATAAAATTGTCCAGTTCTTTTCTCCCGAGACCCGGAGCTCCGATGCAATCTCAGTCTTCATTCCCCACATCCTGTTCATCTCTATCTCCAGGTCGTTGTATTTGGACAATTTCTCGATAGTTTTCATGGAGGTGTTTCTCTCAGATGGAACTGTTATGTCAATAAGCATACACTTCCTGAATTTCTTGTCTTTTATAATATCAAGTCTGTTGGCTTTTATTTCCCTGTCAGTTTAAATTGGCATGTCCCAGAGGATAGTTACATCGTTATTTTGGGTTATTATCATCGTTATGTCTGGTTATTGGTCATATCATCTCTCAGTGGTTTCGATTTTGTGCTTCTTGCATATCTTCCACTGCACATATGTCACTACTTTATTATGTCTGTGGGTATATTCATTTTTCCTAGTTCTGGACATCCTGAGATAATATGGTCAACAGTTTCATCATATTTTCCGCACGTCCTGCATTTCGGGTTAGTTCCATCCTTGATTATGTGACAGTGATAGGATCTGGTTGTGAGGCTTTGGTCCTGGGCTGCAATAATTAGGCCTTCTATTATTTCAGCTTTCAAACCGGTGCTCCTCTGCCACTGAAGTGTTTTCTGTTGGTCAACATCTGCTTCTTTCGTTCTTTTTAGGTATTTGTCATATTACCATTATTACCATTATTATTATTATTATTATTATTATTATTGTTGTTGTTGTTATATTATTATTACCACCATCATCATCATTATTATTATCGTTATTATATTGTATAATATTGTATATTATTATTATCATTATTATTATTTTTACTTTCTTTGATTTCTGGCGTTTACACATTTCTTTCCGCGTCCCGCCCAGGGACTTAAGGTTAGAAATGGCGTCATGACACTTTCCACTGCCAAAAAAAAAAAAAAAAAAAAAAAAAATACATAGATAAAGCCCTTCGTAAAGTGTGGGCTGTACTTGTCAGAACAATTTTTTGTATCTCCTTTAGACATGGACTTCCAGGAATCCCTTCAATTAGTCTACTGGAATCTTTTCCAACCAATCCTAGGGCTCCAACTACAACAGGGATTGTTGATGTTCCCATATGCCACATTTTTGAGATTTCTATTTCAAGGTCCTTGTATTTTGACAGCTTTTTGAATATCTTCAAAGATATATTGCAGTCAGCAGGGACTGCCATATCAACAAGGAGATTATAACCATTATTATTATTATTATTTTCATTTTTCTTATTATTATCATTGTTATTATCATTACCATATTTATTATTATTATTATTATTATTATTATGGGCGGTGCTGTTTGAGGCCACGTTTTGCTTCCAAAGAATCAGTTTCAGGACGACATTGGAGAGTTTGTTTTGATAATCAAGTCACAACGTTTCTTTACTTTTAGACCTGAGTGGGTGGGGATTCTCTTTTTATATGAGATTTGTCTCGCTATTTCATTTTTTGTGAAATATAAAGCTCAAAACGGAAATGAGAAGATTGTGCTGCGCCATTCTTTCACGTGAAGAAAATCAGCATTTGAAATCATTGGCTTTGCGTCTAACCGAATCCGGAATGCACTTGTCGGAAATGTTTTCACAAAGAAACGTTTGCTTTGTGAAGAGACGCAAACGACGTATTTATCAGATGAGCAAGCACCGCTTCCTTAATATTTTTTTTATCTTCTACACAGAAGAGCGACTCCGCCCTGATTTCTCGTGGCTTGTGTGGAAAAAAGAGAGAGGAGGAGGAGGAGGAGGAGGAGGGAGGGAGGGAGCTATGACCAAAAGAAAAAAAAGGAGGGCGGAGGAGGGCGGCTTTGTTGGGTCATAAACAAAGAAAGGGCAAGGAACAAGCGGTCCGATTTCGAACTGATGTCGCTGTTCTGCTGTTTTATTAATATGCGGTTTTCAATGTTGCCATAGAAAGCTGGTGTCGCTGTAAGGCAATTTCTGAGCTCAGTCTGCTGCGCATGCGCAAAAGAAAACTGCTACAGCTGCACTCGTCACTGACATCAGGTAGGCGCATCACAGGCAACTTAATCCCACCCCACAACAACGATACCTGCATTTAGCGAGCGTGGGAGGTTCGCTTTTCGGGACGTCCGTCTATTCAGTTTATTTGTTGCCAGGCTTTCGTTTGTGGTATCTGACGAGATGTTTCGCTTATTCGTACGCCATTTAAAAAACTATCTGGTTTCGTTACAGAGAAAATCTCAAAATTGTGATGTGAGCTGCAAAAAAAAAAAGAAAAAAAAAAGCGTTGCTCAGAAAATTAATTTTAATGACTTAAGAATGTTTTTTCTTAAGAAATGAAAGACTTTTTTCCTAGTCCTGATTTCATTAATCGAGTCTCCTGCTAATTCCACATTCTTTGGTAATCCAATCACTCGTAGAAGCAAATATTTATGCTAATTGTTCTTAGTGAAAAATAATTGATAGTATATATCTTAATCATTTATATATATATATATATATATATATATATATATATATATATATATATGCATACATACATACACACAAATATCATCGTGAATTCCTACCTGATGAAAGGTTAAAAAAATTTAACGTAGAAATAAGATGTACAGTTTTGTAGTGGGTATGTGCATGTTAACACTTCATAATAAACATATATATATATATATATATATATATATATATATTGTCTCGTTATGTGGTTCTAATTAGACTAAAAGTAGTGACAGTCAAAATGTACACATGCAAATGACGAAGTGCCATTATTTTCAGAGAAGAAAAGAAACGGAATTAATTTCAATAAGGCGATATTTTATTTTATTTATTATAAAACTGAGTAACAAAGGAGAGAAAATGCACCGGTATGTAAAAGTGGGTGGTGTCACTTCTAGTACATGCGAGGAGCTAAAGAGAGACAAGACAACTGTCCCGGTTTTTATAGCTCTTTAACAGCGCCACCTAGCGACGTATTGGCGAAATTAATCCACAGGGTAAGAAATGATTAACAAGAAATAAAATATACTTATATGTACGTAAAATAGCTGGAAAGGAAGAAGACATTAAATAAGCAACTATTAGGAAGTGTGTGTGTGTAATACACGTGTGTGTATATGTGTGTGCGTGTGTATGTGTGGGTGTGTGTGTAAAAGATAATTTAGCCGAGGAAAGGGAAAGATCTTATCCACTAACCGGGAACAAGTCTCGTGTTGGTGTCGTTACTGTTGCCTGTTTAAATTAAAAGAGTAAAAAGAGGAAGAAACTGGAAATGTCCCGTTTTTCTAGCTGTTTAACAGCGCCACCTCACAGCGTCTTGGCAAACTTGGCAAATCCAAGTGGTGCTAATCTATCTATCTCTATCTATCTATCTATCTATACACACATTATTTTAACAAAAAAATCTCTTTCGCAGTTGGTAAATAAACAGACCCTTTAAGAAACCAATGAATTATTAAAACATATAAAACTAACTTAGTAAAATAAAATGCAGTTGTTGACTAAAGGTTCGTTTATATAATTAGAATCTTGTAAACATAAAATTATTTTTGTTAATAAACAATGTAATAAATGATAGTTTAATATTTTTGTTGTTAATTCTCAGGAACAAAAGAAATGTATAAATTCACTTTCATCAGATGTTTAGGTTTTATTGCAATTCATAATTCGCTTTTTAAAACAATAAACATTACCGAGGAGTGAAGGTAGTTAAAATAATAATAGCAGTGTCAAGGGAAAAAATCATCCTTTTGACACTCCGTCTGATTGGGTGCACGTTTATCCATGTGTGCCAATTTTTTATTTTCTTTAATGAATATTCAAATAATTACTGAAAAATTGACCTTAGAATTTTATATAAAATTGAATGAATTCCTGGTTAATGTCTTTCGTCCCACGTTGTTGTAAAATATTAATTTTTCATCGGCAAAACATTTTCATTATATTTAAGTAGTCGTCCTGGGTCTAAACTACATCCGGCAGCATGGCCTCTGATCAGGAAGTTTTGAGGTGCGTGGAATCACCTCTTAATTGCTGTTGTTCCCAGGTCCAACCTGACTTGAGATGGTAGCACCTGTTAGGGGTCCCAGCTATGGGCAAATAGTTAATCTTAAACTAGGTTCAAAACACTAGGAAAGTATAAATCTTTTATAGTAAAAATACCTGCAATACATTTTCATATTAAAAACATTTCCAGCAAAATATTTTTTGTAAGAAAAAAATATTACCAGCAATAGATTTTTGTAAAAGAAAAAATACCAGCAATACATTTTCGTAAAGAAATTAATAATGCTCGTGAAAAAAAAAAATTCCAGCATTAAATGACCCATGAGGAGTTGATATGCCGCTAAACAAACAAACAAAACAAAAGAACGTTTAAGTAGCAAATCACAGAGAGGAATATGGTCAAGTAATTTTTTTAACATATGTAAAAGTCATATACAGTGACGTGCATAGGTTTAGTGATGCCCGGGGCCATTGTCTTAATTGTATGCCCCCACCCCAAGACTTAAGTAGGGGGAGCATAGATGGGGGGGGCATAGAGGAGGGAAATGGAGGGGGCTATAGGGCTTAGTACTGAGAAATCTGAGAAATGGAGAAATTTGAAATATGTAAAAAAATATGAAACATGAAATAAACATTTTATTTAAATATAAATTAAATTTTTATTTCACTCTTTGATTGGATGCCCTTCCATTATGGTTGCTCAGGGCCGTCGCACCCTCCGCACCGCCGCTCCCCCCCCCACTCTGCACGCTACAGATCACATATCAAAGGGATCGACAGAATTAAGATGTTATAAATAAATTTTCAAATAATGTGACTTTCACCCTTTCTCTGTCTGTCTGTCTGTCTGTCTGTCTCTCACACACACACATACATACATACATACATACATACAAACACCCACACATGCACATACACACACACGCACACAGAACAAGAATACATTTCTGAGGGCAGGTGTAAGGGCAATAACTCTTGATACTGTAATTTACCTTCTTTGTCATTGTAAGATGGAAATCGTGAAAACAAGTTGGAGGTTTACTTTTTAGATCTTTTCACCCCAAGTAAGGCGATAACTTCGCTAGGTTGCAGGGGATTACAGGAAAGGAAAGAAAATGAGAAGAATTTAGTGAGGTGAAGTGAGGAATGGACGATACAGGAACAGGTGGTTTAGTGACGTTAAATTTTTGAACATTATAAGTTGCGGGGAAGCAAGTAATTGGAAAAGAGTTCCACAACTAAGAAGTGGGAGAATTTTGTTTTTTTAGAATAGAAGAGACGGTTGCATCTTGCTAGTTCAACAGTAACGCGGCGAGATCTAGTTGCCAATCTAGTAGTACGCTTAAATTCATGCAGTCGGGACACCAGGGAAAAAAAACTCGTCAGAACAGTTGCGCTGAAAATATTTGTAGAAAAGACAGACGGAAGCCACGTCATGTCGGTGAGAAAGCGTCTGGAGTCAAGATGTCAAGTCTGGATGGATTACATTAGAGATCCTTCTTTGAATTTTGTCAAGAATCTTGAGAGGAATAGCAGGAGCACCAGACTAGATATGGCAACAGTATTCAATGCACGGACGAATGGTAGATTTGTAAATTATTCTCAAGGACACATGGCACAGTGGATAAAGGCGTTAGTTAGATCCAATGACAGGACCCAAAGAATGTTAGTTCAATACCTGGTTAAGGCAGTGGAGAACTTTCAGAGGGAAATTAACAGGAGATAACTGATAACTGACATACATTAAACATGGCACGTGGAACTAGAACAGTCTACCCCAGTGAGCGAAATAAAGGGTTCAGTTCAACATTCCAACCACCTGAAGAAGGTCGGAGCTTACAACGGTCGAAACGTTGTAATAAATATGGCGATAAAGATGAGGACAATAGTCCGAATAATGTAAATAATGTACATAATACCTCATCTCAGAAATATAGACAGATATTGAAATTCAACATGCAATCTTTCGCTTAAACTCACAAACTACATTCCAAACACAACAAAGAGTTTGTCGTGTCCACTAAAATATCAACTACAATATTTATTTATATTTCATTTCAGAACTTTATCAACCCAAACAAAAGACATTACTTTCCAATCTATTATCAACTGTTTGTATTCTTATCGTTATATTAAATTAATGTTTATTTGTTAAAACTACGTTGTCTTTTCTACTGAATTTTATTCCTTCAATGAAAAGCGTGTGATTATTCTAGACGGCCAAATTACGAGCGACCCTGTAACGATATTTTGTTAATGTATCGAATCCCGACATCCAAATTTTAACATTCAACGAAAAACCTGGAAGGATTCCTACAAACGGTGACCACGACTCTATTACCTTGTGAAAACACGAAAGTTGGTAAATAGAACACACAAATACACGTATCTTAAAAAAATGAAATTAAATAAAAAAAAAAAAATGGAACAACAAAACACAAATAGTACGGAAGCTTCGTTGACAACAGTCACTCTGATTTTACCTGCATATAACCCTAACAACATTAAATCATGGTTTATACAAATGCAGATCATATTCAACGCGAAGAAAATTGTTTCACAAAGAGCCCGATACTGTAATTTAGTAGAAAAACTTCCAGCAGAAGTTGTAGAAGTGACGGACTTGTTGCGGGGCCGATAAGGATGTCGCCCCCGCAAGCTTTACGAAGAAAGGTGTGAACAGCTAAGACAATGAGGAACAAAGGCAGAGGTTTAGAATAACAAACGTCGGATTTATTTGTCGATCTGGACAAATGTACGTACAGGGATTGTTTGGTGTAGTTCGATCGTGAAGTCAGGGAGTGCCAGTTGAAGGATCGTTTTTGGGTTCAAGGCGACAACTCGGAGGCAAGCAGATGGAACAACAGTATTCGAGGTCCAGTCGATCCCTGGATGTTCGCTCTTTGTAAAGAAGCGCGTCGGCGTTTTTGAAGAAAAGGATCGGCGTAGACAGTGCTGGGGTAGCCTGTTCGTCCTTAGAATGACAGTCGTGTAAGAACGCAGCTTGGTAGTCCTTAAAAGGACTATCGCATGTAAAGACAGTTAATTAGTCCTTAAAGGACTATCGCATATAATGTGGCTAGGTAGTCTTAAAGGACTATCGCATATAACGTGCCAGGTAGGCCTAAAAGGACTATCGCATGTCATGTGGCTAAGTAGTCCTTAAAAAGGACTATCGCATATAATATTCGGCTGCTGAAGTTAAAAAAAAAAAAGGTGTGAGGGGCACGTCACTCTACCACGGGGCCAAGTTGGCCGAGTTATTTGGTGGAAGAATTTGTCTGTGTTTATGTCGGCTGCGTCTAGGATCGTTGCCGGTTGGCAATGTCTTTTGGTTGATGACTAAAATTACCTTCCGCATTTTGACTGTACACATGGGTTTCATTTGGACACCATGTGTATATAAAAATAGTTTCTGGTCATTAGGATGACTTGTGTATGTTTTATGTTTTATTTATTTTGCTTTTTGTGTATCGTTCTCTGAAAAACGCCGAGTCCACGGAAATTAACGGCATTCGTTCTGTTTTCCGCGGTGACGCTTTCGGACGTTTGAGTAGCCGGCAGTAACTTCCGGCCGGGTGCGATAGACTTACTGGAAAGAATGTCAGAAGAAAACCGCTACGATACATTTAAAACGGCCATAATTAAACGAACTGGAATTTCGAATGAGACAATGCTGCACGATTTGTTTACCCGATTGGAACTAGGTGACCGGACTCCTTCCCAGTTATTAAGACATATGAAAACTCTGTTACGTACTAATGCTATGACACAAAATATTCTACGGAGATTGTGGTTGGACAAACTACCCAGCACAATGACGCAAATTTTAGCACCCATGGCAGAGGAAACTGAATTGGAAAAACTTGCGGATTCTGCTGACCGGATCCATGTTGGTTTTAGAGACAAAGAGGTGAACACATTGACACCGCAACGTACGAACCAACAACAAAACGAGCAAATTGAGAAACTGCAAGCAACGGTGGCAAGTTTAGCCAAACAGATGCAGTCTATCTTGAACTTACATCAACAACAACGAACTTCTCGTGAAACTACCAGACCTAAGTACAGACGAAGGAGTAACAGCAGGAGTTTCAGCAATGATAGAGGAAGACGAATATTCGACATCTGCTACTATCATTATAAATTTGGTGCAGAGGCAAGACGCTGTTTGAAACCTTGTGCCTTTGTAGACCCGGCATCGGAAAACTTAAATTCCAGCCAGTAGAGACGACGACTGTTGCTGGACTCTCACAAAAAGGTCGTCTGTTCTATATCCTTGATAGAAATCACGGATATAATTTTTTAATAGACACCGAATCCGAAGTGAGTGTTTTACCGCCGGATCCAAAGCAAAATTTAAAACCAGGACTCTACAAACTTCAAGCTGCTAACGGTACAAAAATTGATACCTTTGGCGAGAAAGCAGTAACTATCGACCTGGGTATGCGGCAACATTTTCTATGGGTTTTTAATCAAGCTAATGTTACCACACCAATATTAGGTGCAGACTGTCTAGCTAAATTTAATTTATCGGTTAACATGACCACTCATTCCTTAGTTGACAATCTGACAGAACTTTCTGTGAGAGGAATTTGCTCCCGATACCAGTCAACTGGAATTAGTTCTGACTTACCACAAGTTAGCGGTATTAAGGAATTAATACAGAAATACGCGGAAATCACTCAACCTTTTAAAAACACAGACATAATTAAGCACAATGCCAAACACTACATAAAAACAACAGGACAACCGGTACACTCTACACCGAGACGATTAAAACCGGACAAATATAAAATACCTAAGGCAGAGTTTCAGCAAATGCTACAGTTGGGAATCATACGCCCTTCCAAGAGCGCATGGTCATCACCATTGCGCATGGTCCAAAGCATGGTCCAAGCATGGCGTCCATGTGGCGATTTCCGCGGATTGAACACCAAAACCATCCCTGACAGATACCCAATTCCGCATATACACGATTTTGCAATGTGTCTCCAAGGTGCACGCATTTTCTCGAAGTTAGATCTAGTAAAGGCATATTACCAAGTACCAGTTGCCGAAGAGGACATCTACAAAACTTCTTGGACGACATCGTCCGGATTATAAGAGTTCGTGCGAATGCCTTTTGGGTTACGTAACGCCGCTCAAACCTTCCAGAGACTAATCGACGAGGTATTTAGAGGTTTACCTTTCATATATGCCTACATAGACGATGTTTTAATCGCCAGCAAAAACCGAGAAGAACACAAACTGCATTTGGAAGAAGCTTTCCAAAGACTTTCGCATTTTGGACTCAAAATCAATGTCCACAAGTGTGTTTTCAGAGAACCAAAATAAATTTCATCGGACATGAAATTGACCACGAAGTTATTTCACCTTACAAGACAAATTAGAAGCAATTACCAATTTTCCGCCACCAACGTCACTAAAACAACTGCGAAGATTTATAGGCCTTAGCAATTATTACAGGAGATTTATACCCAATTGTTCAGCGGTTCTGTCACCTTTGACGAACCTACTAAAGAACAAAAGAACGAAAAGATTATGTTACAGGAAGACACTCTAGAAGCATTTAACAATGCCAAAACAGCTTTAGCTAACTTTACTAAACTGAATTACATCAAAGATAGCGAAAAATTAAACTTACCCTCACAACAGATGCTTTATCAACAGCTGTACACCAAATCTTGGACAAACATGTCATACCTATATCTTTCTTCTCCGCTAAACTAAATAAGGCACAAACTAAATACAACACATTTTCGAGAGAGCTATTAGCAATATATCTTTCTATTAAACATTTTCAGCACCTCCTGGAGGGCAGAGATTTCACCATATACACAGACCATAAACCATTAATATATGCATTACACACACATACTGACAAATATAATGCTCGGGAAATCAGACACCTAGATTACATTTCCTAATTCTCTTCAGATATTAAATATGTAACAGGTCAAGTGACATAGTGAGAGATGCATTATCACGTGCCATAATTGCTTCTTTAGATTCTAGTTCTTTGAACCTCGAATTAATCGCTAAAGAACAAACCACAGACACTACACTCCAAAAGGTACAACAAAGCACATCGCTAAAATTAGTTGAACTACCTGTTCCATTCAGTGATACTAAATTTTATTGTGACATTTCACAAACTCAACCACGACCTTACATAACACCAAATTTGAGACAGCAAGTATTCCAACACTTCCATACATTGTCTCACCCAGGAAAACGTGCAACTGTGAAGTTAATTACTGAACGTTTTGTCTGGCCAAATATGTCAAATGACATAAGAAATTGGACAAAATCTTGTTTATCATGCCAGAAGAACAAGATAAATCACCCCACAGGCACATTCAGCACACCTGATGCAAGATTCACGAGCATACACGTTGATATTGTAGGACCTTTACCTTGTTCTCAAGGATATACATATATCCTTACTATCATAGATAGGTTTACTCGCTGGCCTGCTGCAATAGCAATCAAAGATATTACAGCCACAACAATAGCTAAAACTATCCTTACTGAATGGATCGCAATATTCGGTGTACCTTCAGTAATCACAACAGACAGAGGAGCTCAGTTCCAGTCTGCATTATTTAGAGAGTTCAATCACCTACTCGGAACTCGACACATAAAAACTACAGCCTATCATCCTTGTGCAAACGGAATGGTAGAACGTTTCCACAGACAGTTGAATACAGCTCTAGCAATGAAACTAAACAAAACTAATTGGCTAGAAAACTTACCACTGGTATTTTTATCAATCAGAAACATTGTAAAAAAGGATTTGGGTGATACACCAACTGAAATGGTTTTCGGTACATCACTGACTCTACCTGGTCAATACTGTGATGACAACACGAACATGTTACCGACAACAACGTTTGTACAGGAATTAAAACATAGAATGTCATCATTAACGTTTACACCAACACGGAAAGCAAACAAAAATATATACCTACCAAATGACCTTTACACTTGTACATATACATTTATAAGAAATGACGGCGTAAAAAAAAACTTTACTCAGGTTCATACCAAGTTATTAACAGAAAGGACAAGTATTTCACCATCATGAAAAATGGAAAACAGGACAATATTGCTACCGATCGGATTAAACCGGCTTATGTCGATAACAAATTCTCACAACAACTACAAAAAAGAAAAACATGATGATCCAGACTCAAATATCACACAAAAGACTAATGAACAAACACCCAACAAAACAAATGACACCTCATCAGAGACAATAACAGAGAAGAATGTTACAAGATCTGCGAGACACGTGCATTGGCCAAAACATTACAAAACATACCTGAGATATTAAATTATTGTTTCCTTACATATCATTATAAATAAATTTCTAATGACTGGAGGGGGCCTTTGTCGTGTCCACTAAAATATCGAATACAATATTTATAAACCAATCATACTCAAGAAAACACTTGCATCTTAAAACACACCAATAAAATCATAGATTACAAATCAGAATGTTTGTTGTATTAGTCATCATTATTTTTAGTTAGATTGTTGCGGATGTGTGTTGGAAAAAATCGTCGGTAGTGATCTGCGTTGCTATTAAAATTTGTCTTTTTTTTCCAATGCTCCACGTTAAGTTGCCTTTGTCGATCCGTCCACCTGTTTGCTGACCCGGTCGTAGTTTTGCTTGAAAAACGAGGTGGTTGGTGTAGTATGCGTGGATATAATTGGCGCACAAAAGTTAATAGAAGCAGCGTAGTCGTGAAGTTGAGCAGAATTTCTACCGAGTGTCGAATGTATGTTTGAGAGAATCCGGTATTATTGACGATAGAATATCGTTCTCGCAAATTGGAGTCGCATCCTTGCAGAATGAGATAAAGGACGGTGAATCGCCTTATAAGATTCCATTGGACTTCTGAAATATGTGCGGTGTGTAGCACAATGTGAGTGGATGTGTTGTCGCCGTAATGTACGCGTGGATTTGTCGTCAACTGACGTTGTGTTGAATAGAATGCCCACGTGTGTTTGAGAAGAATCGCCAAAATTTGTTGAAGAGATTGAAAGATAGCTTAATTGCCAAAAATGTGCGTAATTCTGTGAGTTGAATTTGTATAGGTGATGTTGAGTTGCAATGTCATGGCGAAGTTGAAAAATAAAATTTGCTTATTAGTAATTAAGTAAATCTTTACAGCAAATTTTATGTGAAAGATGCGTTGAAAATGTTGTTCGAGACAGTGAATCGTCCGAAGGTTTGAAGCATGGTAAGCAAGCAGTGGCGTGAAAATGTCGCCACGTAGTGTAGGAAAAATATATGCGCGCGCTTTTTGAGTTTCAGGTTTGAACAAGATGCGAATGCTATGACCAGTAGCATGTAGTGAAAGAATGCTAAATTTGCAATATTAGTAGCGACGAATTACGTGCATGCAAATCAGTGATGTCGCATCATATGTAATGGAGCAGTGAGTCGTCCAAAGAAAATTGTACGTTCATTCCAGTGAAACTTGAGTGTTGCTTTCATGTCAGAATAGAAAATACCGTAGAAGGTTGTTTGAAAATTCAGGCTTGTTGTCACTTGTCACCGATATTTTAAAATAATTAATTTTCGTCACATTTAGTGGTTATGTTATTGCTCTCAAAGAAAAATGTGTACAGCGTGCGTATTAAGATATGTTGAAGAGTTTCCTTAGCGTCTCTGTGAATTATACGTGTCAGACAATTGAATTATGCGACTTCTTTTAGACTTGTTTTTAAAGTTTCAGAGTGAGGTCGTCTGACGGCATGTGGAGGAAACTTGCCAATTTGGTCTGGTGTCACGTGTCCGATATTCATCCTGTGTGTACGCATGTGGTGACGAAAAATAAACAACTTTCGTTGGGACGTCGGAGTATCTATTTTGCTGCCGCAGATTTAAACATCGGATTTAACACTTTCGTTGCTGCTAGTTGTTTGAACATCGATGGTACCAATTATGTTGGTTTAAATAAACTTTGTTGATTTTACTATTCATTGGTTAGAGCAGGCTTGAACGTTGTTATTCACCAATTCCGTTGGTGTTAAACGTCAAGTTCATGTATTTGCTGGCCAAGATGCGAAACGTCGGTGTTATCATTTTTTTTTTTAGGTGCTGTTAACTGGAACGACAGGGTTACC